GGATTTCTAGGTTCAGACATGTCTTATATTCCTCCACATAAGCGACATTCGAAGGATCCAGACAGACCTTCCCCTGTTCCAGATTCTCTCGTTACCGAATTCAAGAAGAACCTAAATTGTAGCAGTGATAAACTCAACCGTATTGTATATTCAGGAGATTCCATTTGGAAATTGTTTTTTATTGGTGCAAATGGAATTGAGGATGAGATTCCTCCATCTGTTACGCTTGTGCCCTTGTCCTCAGATTCTGTCGAATGCCGAAATGGAGTAAAGCCTTCGATATTGATGAACAACAATGTCCAAAGAGGTAAAGAGACTGTGTTTCTTACTTCTTAGTGTCTTAACATGCAGAACCTGGACTTTGGCATATATGCTGAAAGCAAAGTGGCTATTTTGAGTGTGGTTTTGTTTTATGTTTATGTTTAGCAAATATGAGTATTGGAGAGAGCGAAGAAGATGAGAGAACTCAATGGATGTTGTTAGTAGCAGAGAAGGTCGAGGAGGATCTTGTGTTGGCGTATGAGCGAGCTAAGACCTCGATGGACGAGGAGAGTCATAGTGTATTGAGATTGGTTGCTAGTTTTGGTAAAAATCTCTTCTATGTGTAAGTGATTCACCTTTGATCTTAATACTTATGCAGACTCTTTTGTTTTGTTTTCGTTTTCTGACATATGCAACATAAAATCAGGCGTCAAGCTGGTCCTTTGAAGGAATGTTCGCGGAAAAACATGAATAAGGTTTTCGATGCCGACGTCCCAACTTCTTACATACAACACATCAAGTCTAAGGTTGTACCAAGTCATGAGTTCTGTATTGAGAAGGAAAAGGAAACATACATTGTGAAGGTACTTGTTTTGTTGTCTTAGACCAATCCTTCGGATGTCATTTTAATGTACTTTGTTGTGTCTGTCTCAGGTATCGCATTATACTCGTCCCAACGAAACCATCCAATGTAAATGTATCCTTAAGGAAGATGGACAGCTCAGTATGTACAAGGCAAGTCTAGTGTTCTTTGTTCTTGATCTGTGTCATATTTACTTGGTTTGTTTTCTAACATCTTAAATTGAAGCTGGTG